GGGCCGTGTGTCTGTCAGAGCAACAGCTTGGCAGGAAAGCGGTTTCTCTCCTGAACGTCAGCGTCCACCCGGCACAACCTGAGGGACAGCGAGAGAAAAGAGCCAGGAAGCAGCTCTCAGTCCTCACTTTCGAAGTCAGGCGCTCAGCCGTGGTCACTACCAGCTCCATGGGGCCTCAGGAAGGCTTACAACTACTCCTAGACAATGTTTTACAAGTAGCAAATGTCGCTGTGTGACAATAGCAAACAAACAGTGCTGTGACAGCCTGTATTTCACAGCTGAGATTTTTTTTTCCTTCACTTCTTCCTATTCAGCTGCGTTAGCAAGAGCCACGTGTTGGTCAGCAAAGACAGACAACTGCTGCCTACCCACAGACAGCACCTGTAGCACCTGTCCGGGAAAGCAACCGCGTCAGTACTGGCAGTTTACAGACAGGCTGCATAACCGGCGCTGTTCAACTGTGGGACGCCCCCTCCCGCCACCCCCGCTGACTTAGTTGTATGGCTGAAGAACAGCTACGGCTCTGGCCAAAAAAAAAAAAAAAAATTCTTCACTGCAAAAAAGCTTGTCACAGTGTGAGAGGGCGTTGCTGCAAGGTGTTCCTGGAAACAGGCGCCAGGGCCTAGGCTCGGCTGCAGGACTGCGCGTGCTGCCCAGGGCAAAGCGCGGTAGCGCGCCTGCAGCCCCACGGCCTGCCATGGCGGCAGTACGACTAATGTGCGGAAAGCTAAGTTTCACCTGGCCATCGGCCTGCTTGCCCTGGCCAGGAGTCAGCGTATGACCTGCACCCCCACGGTCCAGCCCGTGCGGCTGTGCGCCCCTGTGGAAGCGGTGTTGCGCTGTGACACAAGCCTGCGAGCGCAAGCTGTGCGCACGATGAAAAGCAAAAGCAAAGACAGAAGCGAAATTGTTGCACCAGGAATGGGGACACGCGCAAAAGTGAGCGCAGCAGTGCTTGGGAGGCTAACGTGGTGGGTTGTACTGCTGCCCGGGTGGGAAGTAGCTGCGAAAGACATCTTGGGTGCTGTGCTGTGCCTAGGCCACGTATGTGCGCGGCAGCTGTCTGCCCCTGCTGAAAGATGCCCAGACACCAGCAACTCAGTAGAAGGAGGATTATAAACCTTCAAATGACAAGTCCCAAAATGTTATATGTATGGGGTAAAAAAGTGAATTTTTTTTCCCCCTAGAGTGTAAGAATATTTATCAATCAACAAGCCAGCCGCAATTCAGTGCTCCAGCAACTTTTTTTATGCTGTATCCTGTATTTCCGTATGGCTATGTGTAAGCCTGCTATTATTGCAGGCTTGAAGTCCACATTATTGAGCAGTTTTTGATAGCAGCTTCCAAATTTCCCCACAGGGCAGCAAAAGGTCAAAACCCCTCTGTGGCAATAAATTCAGACATTAAATAGAGAAAACAGCTGCTTTGCCTGCTGGAGGAGTTGCTGGGTTTGTGATTATTCTGAAGCACGCAACACCATAAAGGCCACAGGGGGGGAAAAGAAAAAACGAGCAAGGCTAGTGCACAGCCAATTTGAAGGCCAAGAAAAATTGCCCAGCCTACAGCAAAGCCCACCAAACAGCTGGCAGCAGCTGTACCAGCCCCCAGCTGCTTCACGCCGGCTCCCAGGAGCAGTCACCATTAAGCAGCGAGGCATAAAAGAAGCTGCAGCTCACCCTTCTCCCCCACCAGCACTGGAATTAATTCCATGCACGAAACTCACTGAGGTGTCACCACAAGGAAATAGGCTTTCATCCGAAATCCACTCTAGAGCCATTGGCAAACTGCTCTGGTCCATCTTAGGCCGCCTTTACAGCCCCTGCGGCAGGCTGCAGCTCCGGTGGTACGGCCAGAGGCTGCTGCGAGCAGCCACGGTGTGAACCTGTTCGAGCCCTGAAGGCCCAACAGTGCTGCCGCACTTCACCGGGCGTTTGGGAACGACTTCAGACTCTGCGTTCCCTGCAAGGGCCCGACTGCCATGGGGAGGCTCACGGTATGGGCCTCAACTGAAGGACAACTGCTGAAGAGGGCTGGGGTCGTTTCCAGCCTTTCACTGTAGGAAAGAGCTTGGCTGGTGTCTAAGTTACCTGCATTACAACGCTTTATCTGGAAGAACTTCCACTTTGGCCTGCTGGTCTGGGTTATGATAATTAAGACTCCGCTTACCTTGCTGCTGCCCGCTCCTGCGACTCGCTGCTTCCCCCGCTGCGGACGGAGGCAAGGCGCTGCGCAGCAGCCAGGCACTGCTCCTACCTGCTCGGGTTTCTTCACTTGCACGTTCTCTCGCAGCGCGGCTGCCCTGGCAGGCCGCTAAAGGACTGGACGCAAGTTGTCCCAAGTCAATCTGTCCTCTCCGCAGGACGACTCGGGTCTCTAATTACTCCAGCTTTACCGTTATCTGCCGCATGCTGCCAAACTGTCAATAATTGGATGCTGCAGTATTTCTGCGGTTGGAAAATGCTGCTGGTGCCCAAGTTAAAGGGCAAGGCTGTGCCGGCGCTGCTCCCGTTTGGCTGCCTGCGCGTCTCCCAGGGAGGGCTGGCTGCTCCCGCACGATAAACAAGGCCAACATTGGGAAAGAAGAGCTTTTTTCTTCTACAGCAGCTTCCGCACACTAAAGTGTGCGAGACTGAGGCAGGAAGTTAAAGAAAGAAAGTAGTGAAATAAATGAATTTGGGAAGGGAGAAATGCAGAGAAATGGAGGGGGAAAAAAAAAAAAAGAGAGAGAGAGAGAGAGAGAAGCTGCATCTGCCAAACCCTCCTGGAAGCGAGAGCTAGAGAAAGAACTGGCTGTGAAGAAAAGGGAGTGAAAACAAGGGAAGACCCAAATTATGTGAACGCTACTTTGCGTCAGTCTCTTCATTTGTGCTTTCTGGTCCAATGGCTACAGAGCAAAAGGCAATACTAATTAATAAAAAAAAGGGTACTTTATTTTAAATGTAGCTACTGCCATGAGTCATCAAAATAGACTTTGTAATAGTTGCTTTGCTTTAAATACGAGGTGACAAAGAATTTAAAATACATGAAATGTCCTAAAACTGGAAATTAACAGAACTAAACTTAAATATTACAAATGACAATTTTTCAGAAGATAAAAGGGAATAAAAATATTTTCCAGATAAGGTAAAATAATTTGGCCAGTTAAAACCATACTAAAAATGTAAATTAATGAGATACGGCAGAGGAAACACTCAAGGAGGACTCCTTTCTGTCACTGTCATTTAAAAGATCCACAGAGCTAAAAATCTCACAATTTAGACTACATTGCTCTAGTCATTTTTTCTTACTTAAAAAAACAATTCGATAATCCAGGGAAATCCAAGAAACTGCTGATAAATTGCACTTCTACATGCTGATTTGCTGTCGCGGGGCTGCCGCCATTACTGCTGCATCTGACCAGGGAGCGGTGACCACATGGACCTTCTCATGCACACAGCTTTTTGAGGCAGAGTATTTCTAAAGGGTGATCCTTGCAATGGTTGCTGCCCAGTGTAGTAGCCAAGGGCTCCTTGCAAAGCCCTCCAGAATCACTTAAAATCACAGCTGAAGGGCAATCAGATCGTAACGCTTCTCATAGCTGCATCCTTGTTGACTCAGCTCTCAAAATGCCACTGCTGAGGAAGGGACCCATCACAGATGGCCATGGTCATATATCCTTTATGGCTAAGTGGATCTACCACCTTCATGCACTGCCCCACAGACACCTGGTAGAGACGGTTGTTTTTCTGTGGGAGAGAGAAAGACAGATGGGATTTATTTATTAAAACCTCTGTTCTACTCCATTTTCAAACTGAAGCTGAACCTGATGCTTAGGGAGTGTTGCTGGCTGGGGGAGATGCCCCTTCCTTAGGGATGAGCATTTCAAAAACCTTTCTCCCAGGCCCTGGCACACAAGGCCCACAGCAGCAATAGTTAAAGCCAGAGTACAGCACGCCCCCCGCCCCATAACCACGTTCAGACCTTGACACGACAGCTCTCATACCCTTACAGGGGCTTAATTTGGATTTTTGTTTGTACCGTAGTTTCTTAATGAGGCGGAAGGATGATCAAAAACTGTTCCCCGTGCCTCAGCGGCGAGGAAGCCCACAACGGTACCCTGCAGCACAGCGACTGGTGCTCTCCTGCATGGTGGGGGCAGGTATGTGAGAACAGCCGCACTGGCCCAGACCTGGGCTCCGGGGCTCTGCTGCCTCCAGCTATCTTTAGCTTAGAGGATTTCTGGAGCCTGATGCACTCTGTACTTTAGTCACCCTCTCCAGATTGCTCCCCTGAGTATGCGGCCACTCTCCCTGAAGTATTTTTTAACACCCACAGCAGCCTTTGGCGAGGTGTTGTACAGCTCATTGCCCCACCACACTATCAACCACCTCATTTGAACCTGCCTTCTATCATCTTCATTTGACAACCTCACGTCTTGTACTGCAAGACACAGTTCATAGTCAACCCCCTACCCCCTTTCTACTTTCTCCATGCCACTGACTTACACCTCTACCTTAGTCTCCCTACCCCTGCAAATCATCACTTTTCTAACCTAAAAAGAGTCCCAGACTACTCATGTGTTTTTCATATGAAAGATGCCCTACACCTCAGATCTTCCCTGCAACCTATCTCTGGACCCTATCCAGCCCTAATTTAGCCTTAAAGGAAGAGACCAGCATGCACAGCATGGACAAACTAAGGTGGTGTGATGACGTTTTTCTATTTTGGTCCCTTTTCCTTTCCTAATAAATCCTCGTGATTGAGTTGCTTTCTTTTGCCGTTGATCATTACTGAGCACCAATGGGACACGGTTACAGATACACCTGCATATGCCCAAGCGGCAATGCTCAGCTCAAAGCCCGTGTTTCCTATCTGAAGCCTGGATTCCCCACCACCACCACGTCCATCACTGAACATTTATACACATTGAATTTCCGCTGCAATTTTATTGTCCAGTCTCTTCTCAGGCTTGTCAATCTTTGTCCACTAATTTAAGCTGAAGAAACCTCAGTAATCCCCCATCACCAGCAACCTTCCTCAGCTCCCTGCTCCCACTCGCTCTCCCAGCAGTGGGCTGTGGTGCAGCCGGATGCAGGCTGTGGCAGAGCTGCAAGGTGCCTCCAACTGTCAGATACGTGCCTAACATCGTGATTGTCTGACAACAATAATGCACAGCAGATACATGCTCCAAATCTGCTTCTCTAGGTCTCTGAATCATCCCGGATTGCAACAAGCTTCCTTATTTGAATTCGTTTAGGAACCCATGCTTCCCAAGGAGCAGCAAAACATGAATCCAGGACAGTATGTACAGGGCTGTCCTGCAAGTACATGACGCGCAACAGGCAGTTCTGGCAGTGCTCTTTTGTTTGTTCAATGCTATTTCTTTTACAGACTTGCTGCTATACCAGGGCATGTGAAGAGACAGTTTTTAACTTAACACTGAGGAGTCATATTTCATGTACATGCAGCATTAGTTCAGTTTTGTGAAATCAGTCACTCCAGACTCTAAGCTACTAACAAAGGAGATGCAATTGTACTGCAAAAGCAAAAAATTCTCTTAGTCCTCAGCGCTGCCCTGTAAGCGCTGCCCTGTAAGCCCTGCCTTCAATGAAGCACTAAGCAGAAATAACCGCAAGACTGCTCCTGTGTCTTATTCCTGCTAGTCCTGCAAGGCAACACAACACAGTGCTGTGAGATGGATTTTGTTCTTTCCAGCACTTCCCTGAGAGCCACAGTTCTGTGGGTGGCTGTGACGAAGAGGAAAGAGTCTAGATGGAACTGCAGAAACTTTCCTGCGTTGGAAAGGAAAAAGCCCAGAGCCCAGGGAACTTGTTCAGGCTGAAATGCAGCCACCAAAGCTGTGCAACGCGGGTATGGGCGGCATCACCCGGGGACTGGGACTGCTATGGTACAATTGGCTTAGTAAACGTGAGGTTTGTTCACAATTAAACCCCCATCCCTGATGTCTCAATAGCGTCACTGTCGCTTATCAGGGTGCAATTACAAGAAACGTGCTGCTATATGCCACCGACCCCACTTACCCCAAACGTCCACTGTTGTGACCCACCAGACCCATGGCATTTCATGAGACGTGGTGGATCAGATGAACGGGTTTCAGAAACATCCAAGCAAAGGAGATTATTTAAAATCAGCTCGTGGTCTTCATTGTAAACCCAGACCTGAAAGAGGGAAAGCATTTATCATGAATCAGGGCAGGTGCCTTACATCTTTTGTTCAGCCGCAGAGCCGGCGATGTCGCACGTGGAGGCCAGAGACGGGCCTTGCAACACTCCGTTTCCTTCCCAGCGTTACATAGCATTACCCTGGGCAGAGGCACCGGTAGGACCACTTGTGTTCCTGCTCTGTACTAGCATTTTTTCAAAACTAGGCAGCACCCCCACATGTTCCTCCTGTCCAGGCTCCTAGACAAGACACCACAGACAAACAACAGAGGATCTCTGAGCAGGTGATGAGCTACTCTCTGAGCCAAGCCATTAAGCCAGGCACTAAATCCCCTTATCCAAAGGCATGAAGGAAGGCTGGTGGTTTGCCTCAGCTACATGCAGGAAGCCAGCCTGGGGGGCCAGAGGGGGAAGCTGGGAAACAGCAGATGGCACAAGAGCCGTGTGGAAGCAGCTTGGCAGGCACGCAAGGCAAAAAGGCATCTAAAGTCTTCCTGGAAACTGCTGCATTTGGCCAGAAACACATAAGAATTTGCTTAACACTTTGCTCTAGGAGCAGCTTGTGGATGCTGAACGATGAGGAACCAAAATCAGCTGTGCAAATTCCAGCACTAGGCTGCCTATGAGAGTCCCTGCACTGGTCCCAGGGTCCGACTCCTTACAGCCAGTGGCCTAGCACTTGGAGACCTTCACTCAGGTAGAAAATGATCTCTGACATCCAGATGCTGTCACAACTTTCCAGATCACTCTCCGGGGAGCGTGAGAAATTGCTGCTCTACCATCCTCATGCTGAAAGCTACAAGTTTCACAGCGTAGAGGTTTATGCCCTCTATGTTCCTCAGCCAGGCTGTGTTTGCTAGCTGGGCCAGGCTTAAACCTTTAGGGGGAAACCAGCCCTCCCACTTTACACCCACTTTGTTTCAGGGCAACAGGGGCCTGAATGAAAATCCTTGACCTGGACCTCAACAGCCTTCACAATATCCCAGAAGCCCATGTGGTGGTGGGAATCAAATTCACATTTGAAGCTCAGCTTCTCTCTACAGCCTATCTGCATAAAGCAAGAATGCGTCATTTACATTTGCAGCTACAGATATGTTATGTGATTTGTTCAGAAAGTTCCTCTGTTGCCACGCTGAAAATTACTGTCACCTCCCCACAACGAGCCCTGTCAGTTCATTCTCTCGCATGTGCTAACCCAGCGCAAGCAGGTATTTCTATCATCAGCAGAAAACCACTGTTGGGCACACCTTTGGTTGCTGTGGTTCATGCCCCTACCCTGCTGGTGCTCATTGACCCCATGGGCCTAAGCCTTGCCCTTGAGCGAGGCACATTTGCCATAGCTGAGGGTTCAGGGAAGCTGAACCATCCATCTGGTTTCACTCTGGGGGCTGCTGGTCCCACCTCTCTCCCTCAGCGCCCTTCAGGCTAGCAAAGACCTGAGCCAAGAACAGTTGGGTAGAGGATCTTGGAATTCTCATAACCAACAGCAAACTCTAACACTTGTGCTAGAAAGCAAAGAAACGGGTGTAGCTTTGGTGCGTGCACCTCAACATCTCCTAGGTTACATAAGGGTGGAGGCTAGGAGAAAGTATATGGGAAAACTGGAACTCAAAAATCTAAACAGAGAGAAACTATGACAACTGAGAGACAAAAACGCACAGGGAACAGACCTTTAATCAAAAGCTGAGTAGTGGGATGCTGGGAGAAGAACACACATCGGTTAACATCCAGTATGATCCTTCTCCAGCCAGCCAAAATTAATTTCAAGGTAATTATATGTTTGAGGTGGAAAAGTAAGGAGAGAGAGAAACAAGCCCCACAGGACACTTCATAGTTCCAAAATTCAGATTCAAGAATGGAGAAAGAGAAGTTCCCCGCTGTGGTTCATGGTTTTGTTTTGCCCTCGTTATATAACTGCAAGCCTTTGCACACCTTGAAATTTATTAAGTTATATTGTTTCCCTGCCTCCGAAGACTGGAAGGATGATGTTCAGCTCTCATGGCTGTGAACTGGGCTGCTGCGCCACCCACAAAGCTGCAGTACAGAAGAAAATATCTCCTAGCAGAAAGCATCTGACCTACCAGGAAAGTCTTCTGCTCGTATGTTCTTTTTGTCAGTGACTTGCCTGGGTTCAGGCTCAAGCCAAATAGTGAAGCTGGGCCCATAATCAGTAAAGTGTCAGCCTGGAATTTACACCTCATTTCTAAGTAATGTCTTGTTTTATCCTCCTACATGTTTTCTAAAAAAAAAAAAAAATGCTATTACCCTTTCTGGATAAGAAGCAACAGACAAGGTGCTCCTGCATCCACCTCCTAACATCTGGGAGACTGATTTTCTAAAAAGGTAAGTATGCCTAGCTCCTACCACAGAGGAAACACCTTCAACCAAGTCCTCCAGAGAGGCACGCTAATCATCGATCTGCTCCACTGTCTACAGGTCTAAAGAAAGTCACTGACCCTTTTCAAGGAAGTCAGATCAAAGCACTGAGATCTAAATAGAGTCTAATTAATTGCTTGTAATCTTAGAGGCGAAAAACCCTCTCTCTCTCCATAATGAAGATTATGGTATTCCTGTTAAATGTATTATTTGCTGAATGCTGTTGGATTGATCTCTTTCCAGTAGCTCTTTTCCTCTGTCTCTCAGCCCAGAGAGCAGGAGAGGAGGAAAGGTGTGAGGAGCAGTCTTAGAGAGCACCAGCCCATTTACCTGCCAACTAACCTCCTCCTGAGGTTCTACTGATGCTCCCCAGCATTGAGATGCCTTTCCTCAGGGAAAGCATTTCAGTTCTGGTAGTGCTTGACAGGCTTTATACCTTACTAGGACCTATTAACTAGTAGTTTTGCACACTCTACTGCTTGGGCGCGATCTGAGACAAGCAGCAGCTCATAGAAAGGAAGAGACACCCGTTATCCCCAAGCACCTGTCACAGAATATGCACATCCACCCCTCTCTACTGCTGCTGAAAGGAGATGAGCCAACATCCTCTGCTGCTCCCCACCAAAGCAGGAGCTGCTCCCAAACAGCCAAGCACAGGGACCTGAGCATGTTCAGATTTACAAGGAAGAATTTAACATTCACTCCTCCAGGAAAGAAAAAAAAAAAAAAAACACACCACACACACACACAAGAAGTCCCAGGTGTTTCACCTGAAATGAAAGACTTGCTCAGGCCTCCTGTCAAGGTCAATACCTTCAGCAACAGGGGCCAGAGGTCCTGCTCCCATTTCAGCCAGGCACTTAGGGGCCTGGAGCACAGTAGCTGGTGCCCCTGTCACAGGTGAGGAAAATATGGAAGTGGGAGCTGCAGATCTGGAGCAAACGCTCTCGCTACTCAGGCAAAGGTTGCATGTGTACATATCTTTCTGGTCACCTAAACACACACACACGTGGCACTTGCTCGAGCAGGTTTTGCAGACAAAATAAATGAGAGAAAGGCCAGAGTACGACAGGCAGGCATTGCCGCAGAAATAACCAGGCACTTAAGGAGCAATGCCCCTCCAGCATCACCCCTTCTTTTACTCAAATACTGCTTATGAAGACTTGAATTTAGGCCCCTCGCTGGGTAGTTCAGACCATTTACAGATTTAAGACTGAGGTTTCCTAAGGCTTTTAGGATGTTGCTTTTACCCAAGTTACACATAAACAACCATCCAGCCTTCTCCTGGACTGATTGCCGGGACAACTTCACATTCTCATTATGTACAGACAGGCAGGTACAAAACAGGGCTCCTGCATTATATTATCATATACAGTTTAATGAAAAGTCTGAGGACAACTGTTATACGGCTGTCCTTGCGAGGAGTCACACCTTGCTGGATGCTGATGTGTTTTTTTGCTCTCTTCCTGCTAATATTTGTATTTCTTAATTGAGGTTACAGGTTGCCACTGTTGGTAACTGATGCATGCACTCTTTTCCCCTCTATGAACCCCTATATCCCATGAATCCCTCTCTATCTTACCATAACAAAAAGATCCTAGACTATCTTACTGGTTTTTTGTTTTTTAATTGATGAAATTATTGCCACAGTGTGATCAATTAACATAAATGGACAATAGCTACCCAAGCTACTTAGGAGAAAATTCAAGTGAGGAGAGGACTTAAACGTTACCTCATCCTCTGGGAGGGTGGCCCACACTGTCATTTCCTTTTGCAAAAATGGAGTTAACCAAATGAAACTTTGGGTCAAGCATCAACGTGGATATCTGTTTTAACTCCTAACCTAGATAAAAAAAAAAAAAATTTAAGAATCTGCAGTAGGTAGAAGAGGAAAGCCCACTGTTTCTAGGGAATAAATACTTCAAAATGATATGGAACAAAACAGAAAGCAATCCCCCTGATGCCTTGCAGTACAGTGTAATAAAAGGGATAGCTGGCCAGCTGGCACAGCTTCATGCATATACGCTCTTATTTTGTCTGCAGATTGCATTAGCAATAGAGGAATGCACTGAAAAACTTCACTCCAGAAAAATATAAGACAGTAACTGCTAGAAAAACAGCTTTATATGTGAAAGAAAAATCACTGCCATGAACCATGTTGACAGGAGAAGCATTCCAGTACTTTGATCAGTGACAATCCACTGCTTAGATTGGCACTATTGCTTTATTCAGTCAGAGAGAGTTTTTAAAAGCCAAAAATTCAGCTTAAGAGCACAAAGCCGCCACCTCAGCACTGAGGAAGAGCTCTGCCTAGCTATTGCATCACCACAGCTAGCTGCATATACTGTAGTTCCTGTTATTATGGATAACAATAACATCACAGCACCAAATCACTCTTGTGAAAGTCACCCAGAACAGCCATGCTTGGCGTTGTACGATCGTTATCTGAAGCCGTTTTATCCAGCAAACCCAATGTCCACCGGAAGGTCATTCTAAAGCACATGCTTGTTCCCAGTTGTACATTTCAGCAAGTGCGTTCCTGATAGTTTGTAGAACGGATGAGTTATTTGTTAGGAAGGCTGCAGAAGCGTGCTGCTCAAACTGTTGATGAAATTGAAGTAGCAAGCCGATATCACAACCTGCACTTCTCCACGCTCACTCTAGACAGGTGGTGTATCAAAAAAGCAAACTTACATCCATGATCCAGACATACAGGGAGAAAGACCTTACAGAAGAAATGCAATGATTTCGTGAGTACAGCCTTCTAAAAAATTGCCTCAAGAGCAAGAGTCTAAAGTACTTGTTTGGATTTATAAAGTGCTACACAAGCGTTAACAGCGCTTTTCTGAAATTCCCTGCTCAATTATCTTTTAAAGTCCCATTCGGCAGAGTACAGTTGTACATGCTTCGACACCTGAGCACCATCACCAGCTGGAAGGGCAACAGTCACATGATTAAAGCTTAACATATTGCTAAGTAGATGAAAGCTTAAATTATTCAGATGAAGCAAACGCACAGAGGAAAGGTTATAATAAACAGTCCAGAAAGTAAAGCTTCAGAGTCAGCTTAGTGCATTTGAAAACAAACAAAGGAAAAGTCCACATAGCACACTGGATTTTAACAGGAGATGTTTAGGAAAAAATATTTGGCTTTAGGCAGTTAGTCAGGAAGACAAGCACGCATCAGATACACATTACAAATACAATCTTCTTTTAGCTGCTAGACCACAAACACTCCTGCTAATTTGTCTCGTTTTGGCCATTCTACTCCATCCCAAAACCTTCTTTGATGCTCTTTTTCCAAGTTAGTCAGTGGCTACTTCTATTTCTTCTCCTTTGTGGCAGTATCTACTGCAAAGCCTGCTTCAGGATCCTTGCATCCTGATCACCACCTCATTAACCTTTGGTATGGCATTGCATTTTTGGGTAGAATCCATACCCCTTCAGTTTTTCACTTCTGCCTTTCAGACATTTCCAACCTTTTATGATCTTTCAAAGTTCTTTCATGTTTTCTATCATCCTTCAACATACAGGTTTTGTTGTGTGCACCATCGTCAGCATTCTCAGCCTCTCTTCCAGAAAGGGATCAGATTTCCTACTGACTTCGGGGAGGACAGTGCTTTCTTTGATGATGCTAGCAGTTCCTCTACACAATCTCACTCTTCAGCTACAAGACTTCTCATTCCATGTTGGTCTTCTGCCGGCAAAGTTCACATTCATCTTCTCTGTTTCTTAGCTTTTGTTACTTCAGACTTCTTTGTACCGACCTTTGTTCTGCTAGATCACATCACCTCTCCTACTCATGTCATTTCTAACTAAAAAGTTTTCATTATTCATTCCAAAAGTTGTGTTCAGTTCCCAGTATTATCCCAGACTGCTGAATGTTTCTGAAACGGCTATAAAAATATGTCCTAATATGCATTATTATTACAGAACAACTCTAATCTTGGAATACTTTCTAGATGCACCACCTGTTAGAACCACTTCCCTTTTGCATTTTCTTACTATATCAAGGAAAAAAACTGCAACGCCACTCTTAAGTTCTAGAAAACGGGTTCCTCTAATGTGAATCATTTTTAACTTTACTTAATAATCAAAGTCAAATTGAGTTATTACCATACTGATGATACGATTGCAAAGTTTCCTAACATCTGTTATATCTTTAAATCAAGGAGTTAAGTGAGAATTTCAGCTTCTCTTTGCAGCCATGAAAGAGAAAACAAAGTAAGCATAAACTAAAGGCAAAGCTGACTTACTTGTGAAGCTAGTCTCATGACTTCAGAGATGGTACATTAAGGTTAGGTACATTAAGTTAGCACTTTGAAGTTTAGCTCTCATGTGTAGAAATTGCCAATACTACACAGAAGACCATTTTTTCAGTCCACAGAACTACAATTAATAAGAGTCTCAAGAAAGTTAAATTTTGTTTTCCCAGGCAGGCTGCATCTTACTCCTTACCAAAAAGTAGTTTTTCAAGACGCTATTTATTCACAAAGCAAAGGCAGCCTGGAAGGAGAGAAACAGTAACTGTGAGGACCCACCTGTTCTTACTGTGGACATCATCCACAGAGAACCGTTTCAGCTTTTTCACTCAGACTGGCTCAGAAAGCAGTTTAGCACCTCTGGCACTGTAAGTGTGAAATCTTTGATGCCAATCACTACATTTACATAGACAGTAAGACTTGCTGACTTTCTTATAGCTTATGGAAAGAAAAGATATTGGAAAACCTCGACCGCCCTTCCCGTTCCAGCTTAAATTCATCCCTCTTTAAAACAGAGGACCTACAGTTTTGCTCACAGTGCCAGTCCCTCAGTACTCCCGAAGCAGATGCAGAAGAGGGAGGTATTTATCGCTGGTTTCAATGTGGCAGCTGGAGAACATGTGTCTAGGGCTACTCCACATTCACGCAGAGATTGACCAACACCCCTCACACGATCTCTCTGTCATAGCCAACAGGCGAGCCCACAGCCAGGAGCAGTAAGTCTCATAAATTCACAGAGCGTACGTTTTGTTTGGGACTGTTAAAAATATCAGTCAATATTAATATCAATATTTAAAAAGCTTCTACCGCTTCAGTCCTTAAGATAATTAGTCCCTCCCATACAGACAAAGTCATTACTAGAAATACTAATGAAGATCTGATTTAAGATTAATCACTTAAATTCACATCCACATCATTTGCTCTTTTTGTTGCCACTCGTCATTTCCATGAAGCCCCATCTTTAAACTCTCAGACTTTCAACTCTACCACCCATCTCAGCTAAGATTCTCCATACAGCTATAACATCAAGTGCTTTCATTGACTGACTGCTGCAGTTTTGTTGTCCTGAAAAGGACCGTCCGTTTCATAGAGTATCAAGTTAGTCTAGCACAACCCACCGTCGGTAAAGCAATGCTGCGCTACATCGCATGCTCCATTTAGTGTCTTTGATTACTTTTCTCCTTAGGAAAGATCTAGTTTTTAGACTTCGGTCCCAAGAACTCCTAAATCACAATGCTCTCAATGTAGTTCTTAGCTCCCTAAAGAAGTTAAAGGCATTAGGATCTCTCTACCTTGAAGATTATTTTTCTCAGCCCTAAGTTTCTGTTGCCTGGAAGAATGGAAGTGGCTTCTCATTCAGTAGTACAAGAATTCATTAGATTTTCACACCCATCCCCAGTTAAACGTCAGATTAGCAATTCACCTGCAGCCAAAGAACCCTCTAAATTCCTCAGAACTCCTTCTGTTTAATGGTAAGAACAAATCATTCATTCATCCCAAACCACAGCTGCTGCTGCAGCAGATAAACACAGTGGTACACTATACAAGCAGGACTAGGCCAAGAAAAGGCCACGCTGAGTCCCATACAAAGAATTGACTGGAAGCGCTTTTACAAAGCCTGAAGTGTCAATCAGTGGGTTATGAACTCATCAGAAGCTACCTGTGGGTAGTCTTCAACCACATACAGAGATTCAGCCCACAAAGACAGGAGAGTACAATATCCACCACTCAGCACTAGTGGGTACAGAGTACTAAGTTCCACAGGGTCCTTGGTGAGCTTTGCAGTTTGAAGAATACTCTTCAATCAGCCTCCCTGCATCAAAATGAGATATTATGCTAAGGTATTTTGCCAGCAGGAAAACCTACGAGCAATTTGCAATATGCGCTCCACTGTTCAGTATCATTAGGAAGCAAATACCTGGTTTTGATCATTGTAGTCACATTCGCGAACCACTACCAGTCCTCCTTTCTGACTCGGGTGTCCCTGGGCGACCAAGCATTTATTGGTTTGAAGATGATACAACTGTGAAAGCAAAACAGTTTGATGGACACAATAAACAGACATACCAGAGGGAACATATGGTAATGCTTTTGGAAGCTCCAGAACTCAATGTATTCACAAATAAAAATCCTATAACAAAAAAAAAAAAATCCCTCATTCCCTTTTCAAATACCATTTTGTTTTTCAGATAATTTGGAGAAAAGCCAGCATTACATGATTTGGCTTTCTAACTACATCAAGATTTTTCTCTTTATGGTACAAATACAATATAAACAACCTGACAGTTTGGCCTGTGTACCCCAAGGCAGGTTTCTTTCATTTCTACACCCTGCAAAAGTCTAAGGTCACAGGTACCCACTAGCTCAAGAATTTAAACTGTCTTTATATAAAGTACATTTACTGCAACTTATGTTAAACATGACATTTCCCTCCCACAGCCCCTCTTCAGGAAGGAGGGCAACTTATTTGGAGAAGGAGGCGAAAAGAGGTACTTAAATACAAGTACCTTAACAACATAAGTAACTTGTTGCAACTTCATTCCCAAGAGTGTTTGCATAACTGAAAAACTATACTTATCAGCTATGTTACTTTAATTACAGGTCAGAGGAGAAGGGAGAAGTGTACACAAATGCCGACTGCAGTTCAAGTGAACTGCCTGCTCTGACCTAAAGTAACATGGCGTTGGCATTTGGCAGGGCGGAACAGATTCAAGTCAGGAGCCCATCCTGCTGATGCAGATTGGAAAGTATCTACCACCAAAGCAAACAAGGAGGTTCTGCAGGTTGGTGGAGACTTGGGGTTTTTTTTGTTGTTGTTCATTTAAACTAAAGGCACTTCCGGTAATATGCTAGAAGGAAAGCAAAAATTAGAGAGGATATATCAAAATAACATTCTCCTCTAAGCACCATCCCTGGCAATAGCAGTCCCAAG